CCTCTCCCAATGTAATAATGTTGCTGGAATTTTTATAAGAATCTTCTCAAAACAAAGAAGTAGATCTATATCTTCATTATGATTTAGCTGCAGCTCTTGTTCAGTCACTAAAAACTGTTATTTTTAATCTTACATTATAAACTAGTAGGACTCCTTTCATATATTTTGAATAGGAGAACAGCTTCCTGCAGAGTCAAAGTCAGTGCTGAAGGGCTGAATGCATTAAACAGCAAACCCCATAAGTTCGTCAGCAGTAAAAGCAAATGAATCTACCCATGTACCATTAAACGTCAAGTTTTCTTCAGAAACTTTTCTTTGGATTTATCCATGGTTGGAGGGGGCGGGGAAGCTCAGTAAATTGGGGTGTGGCAGATATAGGTGTGTTTAGTGACTGATTAGCAGATAAACAGTCAAGTGCTGTGAATTGTGACAGGTCCCAAGGACAGCTTTTAACATTCAGATGAAGATTATACTGGGACAAAGAGAATCTTTTCAGCAGTTTTGTGTAACATGAGAGCCTGCAGGAAGCTTGTTTAGCAGAGGAATGTAGCGATTTACTTAACTAGCTAGTGATAAGTTCCTGAGTGGAGCTTCTAGCAGATCAGCGGCTGTGCCAGCACGTGTTTTGAGAGCGACGGAGCAGCAGCAGAGGAGTTCAAGAGCCACGTGCGGCTCCGGAGCCGTGGGTTGCTGACCCCTGCCTTAGATGAACCCAGGCAATGCCTGAGATCATTCAAGGAGACCTGGATAGTCACTGTGCAACAACACTGCCTCCATGTCCTAGCACATGAACAGGCCTTCCTGGTGGTGGCACCCATCCTCTAGAATACCCTTCCTCGCCTTGGCTAATGGCAGAAAGTCTGGTGAACTTTCAGCACTCCTGGAAAGTATATAAATGTATACAGAATTTCCTCAACTTGTGTGAGATTAGAAAGCAGTATAAATAAATTGAAGAAATAACATTTGTCCATATACACATATCTGCTTTGCACCCAGCAACGGTGATACATGCATGAGGCATGAGTTTTCCAAAAACATTTCACCTTCTGTCTGTTCCTCAGCCCATTGGTTGATATGGTTCTGTGCACTGTTGGGAGCATTTAGGAAATCCACACTTGAAAGCTCAGCTCCGTACATGTTGTGAGTCCTAGTCAAGAAGTCCTGGAGAAATCATCAAGGAAAGTTATCAATGTAGCATAAAAAGACAGAAAGCTCAAACTGTGAAATGCTGTTTTGACTCTCAAAGAAGTGGAGCCAAGGGACTGCATGTCCTGAATGGAAAATGCTTCTGACTGTAAGAGAAGCGAAAGAGCCACTGGAGTCTTCTGCACAGGGCAAAGGGGCTTGACCTCTTCAAGAAAAAAGGAAGACGTATTGAAAAGGTTAATTGGATTAGATTGATCAGTTGAACACTTCAGTGTAACCTAGCCTGAGTTATTGGCAAATCAATCCCAGTTATGTTTTTGGTCGTCCAGTGTCTCCGCTTCTCTCTCATGCCCAACTTTCTAGTTCCAGTTCCAAGTGACTGCAGTGACTTGGAGAGCCTTTTCTGATCTCTGAGGGAGTTGCCAACACTGTGCTTTCCTGAACAAAGATAATTTGCCCAGACCAAGACCCCTAGTTTACACTTGGATTAAGAAGATAGGCCTTCATCCTACAAGACAAAACACTCCATGGGGTGGGTGGTTGGGTGTACATAATGGATGGGCCCTCTGGCATTCTCTTCCTGAAACAATCCATGTTACTGTGGAGCAGTAACTCTTCTGTTCAAAACCACTACAGATCCAGGCGAGGCCAAGGAAAAGTTTTCTGCTAGGTTCAGCAGGGTAAAGCATCCTTAGGGATATGAAACAGAAATTCTGTGGTCCAGGTAAGATTTGAAAGAAATTTTATATCCTGGCAATCAGCTTACTTGCAAAAAGAAGCAGGTCTTCTCTCCAAACAACCTGCTAGCCATCTTCAGTACATAGTAGGGACTGCTGCTGTTCATCTCACTACTAAGTGCCTGGAACCTCGAATGAAGGTCTTCAGCTTCATCAAAGTGAAATGCCTGTGTGGAAACAAGAAGTCCTAACCTATCAAGCTTACAACCAGGCCAAGGAAGGCCAAGGAAAACAAACAGGGCTTATATTATGAGGATAAGGTGGAGAGGAGGAAGATTATGTTATCATCTGGGATCCTCACAGGAAGAAGGAAGGGGAGGTGGACAGTAGCAATACTGTGCTCCAGAATTCCAACTATCAGATTAAATTACCCAAAACAAGCAAAATCCATTCACAGTAAAAGAATAAAAACAACTCACTTCACCTTTTGTTGCATATTTAAATCCAAGTAAAAGTTTCTTTTACTTTGTGTGATAGTTCAAACAGAAAGTCTTTAAAGAAAAAATTCCACACCTACTTACCTGGAAGTAAATTCTGTTAAACCCAGCAGGACTTACTTTCATGTAGACAGGTACAGGTTGTAAAAGATTAACAGCTGAAAGCTTTTGATCAAAGACACAAAAAATCAGCATCAAAGCTGCCACTGCAAAGACAGAAAAAGATCTGCTGACCTTTGAGAGCTGAGCTGCAGTGATGCCCTTGGACCTTAAGAGCACCATGGCAAGCGCGGAGGAAATGTTGAATCCAGAAAAGAAGATGCTGCCCTTTGGGTCATGCTTGTTCAGCATTTGGAAGAGATCCAGGCCAAAATGTGTATTTGCATTAACCAGGCTTTCCATGATAAAATTCTGAAAATTTGGAAAGAATGAAAACTATTGTTCTGCTATACATTCCCTCAACATTCTGCTGCCCCATTTCCAGGGTCTGTAAAGCACTTCATTGGGTAACAACATAAAACTGCAGGCTGCATTTTATCCTTCCTGGCACGACTCATAAACCTTTTTTCACCTCCCCCTTCACCTGCTTTTTTCAAGTGGTAATACCTGTTGTTTCGTTTGTTCAGATGGGTAACCACTGCGTCTACTGATATTTTATCAAACCGATGTTCATCCTGGAGGCCTCTTTGGAAAGGTTCTACCCTTAAAGATGGCCAGAAGTTTTTTCAGTCAAGACAGTTCTGGGCATGGGTGAGGAATGCAAAAGCGCTTGTCCTCGGGCATTGCTGACCCTCTCGATCAGGGTGGGCAACGGTGGGTGGTGTGGGAGCCAGTTTCACCACTGCAGGACTCACAAAAGGTCACTTGAAGATACCTATGAACTCTGCATGCTTCCCTGTCCTCACCCCACTTTTGGCCCACATAGCTCTCTGTTCTTGGGGGTGGGGGAACCTGCCTTCAGACAGCTATCAGAAGCTAGGGTCAGCCAAACTGGGGTGGGGAGGGGAGTGCACTTCCCCACCTTTCCAGGATGCTGGAGGCTCAGGGATGTGTTGAAAATTGGGGAGTACTGGGACTAATGCAGAGACACTCAGAACTGGCTCGGGGGGGCGGGTTTCCTGTGCAGGGCAGGTCACTCCTAGCTTTGCTTTCTCCTGACACCTTGAAGTGGAAAGCAAAGCAACCCCACCCATTTGGGTGCTGCCTGGGCCAATGTCCAGGGCTGGTACCTGCTGCACTTTGACAGCAGGTTCACCCCCAAGAATATCTATTTATTTATAAAATGTGTATGCCATCCAATTACTAACGTCTCTGGATGGGAAACAGCATAAAAAAATTGACAACTCATTCTGGTTGCAAATTAATAAAATACAGTAATAAAATTCAGTATTAAAACATATTAAAATATTGATTAAATAAAAAGGTCTTAACTTGGTGCCGAAAAACATATAATAACGGCGCCAGGCGGACTTTTCTAGGGAGTGCATTCCATAGTCGGGGTGCCACCGCAGAGAAGGCCCTCCTCCGGGTACTCTGTCTCCTAACATCTTTCACAGAGGGTTCCCAGAGAAGGGCTTCTGTTGCCAATCTCAGGGGGTAGGAGGGCAAATAGGGAAAAAGGTGTTCCTTTATGTATCCTGGTCCCAAGCTGTTTAGAGCTTTATAGGTAATAACCAGCACCTTGAATTGAGCCTGGATTTCGATGGGAAGTCAATGGAGCTGATAGAGGACTGGGGTTATATGAGATTAACGCCCAGTCCCCGACAGCAACCTGACTGCTCTATTTTGCACCATCAGAAGTATCCGGACTGTCTTCAAGGGCAGCCCCATGTAAAGCGTGTTACAGAAATCCAACCAGGAAGCAACCAATGTGTGTGTTACTGTTGCTAGGCAATCGTCCTCCAGGTAGGGACGCAGCTGATGGATTAGCCGAAGCTGAAGGAAAGCGCTCCTCGCCACCGCTGTAACTTGGGCTTCCAAGGACAGCTCCGGATTGAGGAGCACTCCCAAGCTGTGGACCCTGTCCTTTAGAGGGAGTGCAACCCCGTCCAGGGCAAGGCCCAAGTTACCTACCCAGGAGCTCGAATCACCCACCAACAGAACCTCCGTCATATCTGGATTGAGCTTCAGTTCATTGGCCCTCATCCAGCCCATTACCTCGGCCAGGCACCGGTTCAGTACAGCCACTGCCTCACCTAGGTTAGTTGAAGAAAAGAGGTAGAGCTGGGTGTCATCAGTATACTGGTGACTCCGCAGCCCAAACCTCCTGATGACCTCTCCCAGCGGTTTCATGTAGATATTAAATAGCAAGGGGGACAAAATGGAACCCACACCACTCCATGGCGAAGTTGCCATGGCGCAGAGCCAAAGTCCCCCAGCACCACCTTCTGGAATCAGCCATCAAGGTAGGAGCGGAACCACTCCAAGCACCTTGTCCACATCATCGGGCCACATTAACTGAAATTCATCCATTAATACCTGACCAGACAGGGTCATTGGTGTCTCCCCTAAGGGATCTGAATCAATTGTGGATTCCAGCTCGTGATGAATCTGAGCGATTTTCTCCTTGAAGTGCTGGGCAAAGTCGTCACAGCGGGCCATCGATGGTGATACAGGATCTTTCTTAGGGCCGGGGTATATCAGCCCATGTATCACTCGAAAAAAGCTCCACTGGATGGCGCTGTAAGGAGGCAATGGAAGTGCAGAAGAATTTCTTCTTTGCTGCCCTCAGCACCACAGCATAGGCTCGATAATGAGCTCGTAAGCGTGCTCGGTCAGATTCATCCCGTGATTTCCTCCACCTACACTCTAGTCATCTCCCAACCCGCTTCATCACCCGTAATTCAGATGTATACCATGGAGATGGACGGGCTCTGCCGGGCAGGAGAGGATGCTTAGGGGCGATCATGTCAATAGCCCTGGTCATCTCCCCATTCCACAGTTCAACCAGAGCATCAACAGGAGCGCCAGCTTTATCAACCGGAAAACCCCCAGAGCCTTCAGGAATCCATCTGGATCCATCCGGCTCCGAGGGTGGACCATCACAATAGGGTCCGCACCCTTACAGAGGGAAAGGCCAGCTCCGACCTCAAACCTCACGAGGAAGTAATCTGACCATGACAAGGGAGTCCGACACGAATTCCTCACCCTCAATATGGCCCCCATGAGGCTTTGAAGGGGTAGCCAACTGGTGCCAGCCTCTTCAAGGGGTCAGTTTGGACAGTCACTTTTGCAGATGGCTGCCTGTGATCTTAAGAAAAAGGGGAAGGGGGAAGCTATGGCAAACCGAAGAGGCTTGTGACGGGAGGGGGTTGTTACCGGAGCCAGCGCTGCCCATGTGTTGCAAGGATGCGTTAGCGTGATGTGCAGACCCACCCAGTCACTTGCTCTGGCTAGGGGTGCCGTGCGCCTGCCGTTACACCCGGACCATCCGCCCATAGCAGCGAAAGCAGGACGCGAAAGTGTCCCTCTCCGACCGGGGCCCTGCGCGGGTGGGCGCTCACCGGGAAGTGTCCTCCGCAGCATCCGGAGAAAGTGAAAGCGAAACCAACTTCCACCAGCAACAGAAGCGGCGGGGAGGAAGCAACTTCCCCGGCTCAGGAACGGGGTCCCCACGGGGTGCGCGGGACGCTTTTCGTTTCCGCCAGCGCGCCGGCAGCAGAGCCTCCAGCATCGCCGCGGGACTCGTGCGGGCTGCGACGCCCGGTAGCCGCTGCAACGCGCGGGGCGAAGGCAGGGCGCGAGGGGGCGACGCCGGGCCCGCGTCCCTCTTGCCTTGCTCGCTCCCCCAGAGCAGCCCTCTGGCCGTCTCCGCGCCTGCCCGCGTCCTCCGGCTCTGCCTTTCGCCCAGTAGATCCCGCTTTGCTGCCCACGTACGCAGCGCCTCCCGGAATTTTATGAAATTTTCCACCGGCCTGGTTGCGCCTTAAATTGTCTGACGCGGTAATTTGGTTCATAGTAAACGGGCCGTGATTTAATAAATGCACTTGGCTCGACAGGGAACGTGCAGTGCACCTATCTACTCAGAAGCAAGTCCCACTGGGGTCACCGGGCAGCCAAGCGGCTCTGGAATCGCGCCCGTAGTAATATTTGAGATGCCGAAAGGAGGAAGCGGGGAACGCGCGGCCAGGCGGACGAAGGCGGCTGACTCTCTCCCTCACGCCTCCCGGGCAGGGGATCGAGGAACAGGGCTCCACTTACCGCCTCCGCGGGATCCTCGCTGTCCTTGTGCCGCCGCAGCGCCAGGAGGGACGCGCAGAGATCCGAACAGGGCGAACGGCGTCGCTTCCTGCGCGTGGGGAGGCGAGCGCAGCGTGCGAAGTCGGGACGTTGCCGGTGCCCGGCCGGGTACGAGCCTTTTCGGCCAAGCGGTGGAATCAGGGAGGCGAAGGCCGTGGGCGCCGCCGCTTTCAGGCTGAACCCATTTTTCTCTTGCAGAACGGGATCGTTGCCTCCCTTCTCTCAGAGGAACGTGGAGGGGCAGAGGGCGGGATGCGGCTAGTTCGTGCATCACCTGCAAGTGTAAAACACAGTTGCAGTTATCGGATGCGAGGAATCCCTATTAAACCCTCAAGAGGAAGAAAACACCGGTTCCCCCCCCCCTTTGAATGGGTCGCTAATGTTCCCCCCTCGTGATATTACCGCAGATCTATACTGAAGAAATTATTTCAAATAAACTGTGATCCAGCTTCAATGATTCTGTGCACAGATGCTCAGGATGACTCATTGTGTGCAAGAGCACATGAGCACCTGTCTGCAGGCAGCTATATTACCAAGTGGCTAACCTGGTGACAGATGCGTCGGATTCGCAGCCTCCTGGCATCACCAAGCCCTGTCATCCTGGTGGGATTCCCCTAAGCTGGCAAGCTTCCTGGAGTCCGTGCCAGCCCAAAGAAATCCATGCCACGCCTAGCATATTTTGTGGACGTAGACATGAGCATAACACCTGCCCTTGATTCACTGCATTTCTGCAGCGATGGTCAAAGCTTTCTGAGTGGTTGACATAGATTACGCATCACATAAAAAGTTGCATACAAATCTGTGAAAAGGCAGCAGCACACAGAGATGAGCATCTAGAGAGCACTTAAAACGCAATAAGACAAATCCAGCAGCTGGTTGACAGGCAATGCCTGCCAGAGAAACTTGCTCACTGGAGCTTTGGCCAGCTGCAGAAGGGCTTTGTTCCCCCATGGCAACATTTCAACTATACACTGCAAGAGGAAGCCCAGAGCCAAGAGTCAGTGGGAGTGGTCTTCCAGGTATTGTGGGACTGTGACTTGTGTCACCTGTAACCATTAGCTCTGCCAAGGGCTTCAGTCCAGCAACAGCTGGAGGATCACACACACCTGCACAATCCTGGAGAGGGGGCTTGGGATTCTCCAGCAGGGCTGCTCTCTGAT